TCTTTGATGTTCAGTCTTTCAGTTGTTTAAGACAAAGATTCTTTTAAAATTATCTTTAACTCTTGATTCTAATATATCAGAAAAGCTACCCCTTCTCACCCCCTGTACTGCTGCCACCCCTGCTACCACCCTAGCCACCTGTGACAGCTTCCTAACTGCCTTCCTGCTTCAATTCTTTCCTCTACCAGTCTGTCCTCTACACGGCAGTCAGAGGTTTTCTTTTAAAATGTCAGTCAGATCATGTTATTCTTCTGTTGAAAACCCTCCAAAAGCTCCCCATCCCACTCAGAGTATAAGCCAAAGTCCTTACGAGGGTATATGAGCTCTATGCAAGCCCCATGTGACCTAGTCTTCTCTACCTCTCCAACCTCATCACCTCCCTCCCTGATTTCACCACATATATTGGCTTACTATTCTTAATCATACTGCTCATATGCTGCCTCAGATGTCTGTACTTACTGTTCCCTTTCTCTGAAATGCTGTTCCCTCAGATATCTGTTCAAATGTCACTTTATCAGGGAGGTCTTCCCTGATCACCATATCTAGAATAGTACACCTACTCCCAATTGCATTTTTTTCTCTCTTTTCCATTTTATTTTCTTCAGAGCACTTAGCACCACCTGATGTAGTATATGTGTATGTTTACTGTGCAGCTGTCTCCTACCACTAGAATGTAAGCTGTCTAAGGGCTGGGACTTGTTTTATTCACCTCCATATTCCCATCACCTATGAGCACATTGGCCCTTCTCTCTTTTGAGATCTTGTTCTGTTAGTTCTTTCTATTGCCTAAAGTTTCATCTTCCTTATCTGTTGGATAATTTGTTGTTGTCAGTAAGCATTTTCAACTCTTTCTTCTCATTGAAAACAAACACAATTAACCTTCCCTCAACTCTGTACCTTTTAATTATCAAGGCATTAGTTGTCACATTTCTTTTAAGTTTCTTGAAAGAGTTTATGTTCACTAACCCCATTCCCCTTCTGGTTTCTCCCTTGGTCCTCTGTAACAAGGTTTTCATCTCCAGTGTGCCAGCGAAATGTTCTAATTGTGATAAATAAGCAGGCATTTTTTGTTCCTTTTATTACTTTAATTTTCTGTAGCATTGTTCTATACTGATTATTCCTTGTTTTCCTCTTGTAATTCTCCTTTCAGCCTTTCCGAAGTCTTACTTTTCTTATTCCTCATCCTTATTGATTGTCTTTGCTGGTTCCTTCTCTGCTCCTTACATATGAATATCCCATAGGGCTCGTCCTTTTTCTTCTTGGCTTGCTCTGAATCCTCCTTCCCCCATGACTGTATCTGTACTATGCTTTTAACTACTGTTTGTGCGCTAATGACTTCCAAATCTGTATCTTTTGCTCAGATTTTTCTCTTGAGCTTCAGACTTGTATTTCTATTTCTCTCCTGAACATATCCTACTTGGTATCCTGTGCCACATGTTCAAAAGCATATACAGTATAAACCCTCCCCACAGAATAACACAACAATAGCAGTTGCTTCTCCGCAAGTCCCACCTTGGCCAGAGACCCACCTGGTCCTTTAAGATAGACTCTGGGGAGTCACTCTCAACTGCTTTCTTTGCCTTAGCACTGCCATATCTGAGAGTACTGCTCGCTCTTCTTGTCCTTTAGAATCTATTCTCTTGTTTTGGGTTGTCCCTGCCATGTTTCGATCTTCATCCTTCTCTCCTTTATCGCGCCGTCCTTAAAGCATGTACTCTGAAACCAGACTGAAATTGTTCTAATTTTGGATGTTCCACTTGTTAGTTATGCAACTTTGGTCAAGTTTCATAACTTCCTTGTGCCTCAGTTTCCTCATTGGTAAAATAGAGATGGTAATTTATTGTGAGGATCAAATGATTTCACCTGTATAAAGTGCTTAGAATAGTACCTTGACACATTGTTTGTTGTTATGTGTACTGTTATAGTACCACCTAGCTGACTTCTATATCACTGATCTCTACCCCTTCTAAAGCATTTTCTTCTCTGCCACAGAGTCAGCTTTCAGAAATGGACATCTGACCATATCATTTCCTTTAAAAAAATTTCTGTGGCTTCTCATGGTCTGACTACTACATATATCCAGCTCATATCCACGGTCCCTTTTCTCTCACTCTCTGTTATAGCTGTATTAAATAATTGGCAGTTTTCCAAATAAGTTGTGATCTCGCATGCTGTGGCATCGTTGCACATGCTGTTCTTCTGCTTGAAGTCAAGTTCTTCCTTTCCTGATTTTATTTGGGAATCTTTAATGGTCTTTCAAGACCATGTTTATTTTATTTTACTTTATTTTATTTTATTTTATTTATTTTGTTTTGTTTTGTTTTGTTTTGTTTTGTTTTGTTTTGTTTTGTTTTGTTTAACATTCAGGTCTTACTTTTTTAATCAGTCAGGTTCATCAGTTAACCAATCATAGCCAATAGCTACTGAAAGCTAAGTATAATGGTACTCTGGCAGATATAAGACAAATATAACATGCTTTTAAGGAGCATGCAATCTAGTAGGGGAACAAGATAGACAAATTTGAAATATCAAGGGACCATCTCTAAGAATGCTAAGAAGAGCACACCTTATAAACAGGGCAGCATTTCAGAGAAGGATAAAATCATTGCTCACAGATATGGGCGAGTAGGGGTGTTAGGGTAGTTAGGCTTCATGGAAAAGTGGGGTTTGGGTTGGGTCCAGAAGGATGGTATGATTTGCATAGGTGGAGGGAGGGGGTAGCTACTGTGTACCAGGGAACAGGAGGCACAGAGGTGGCAGCTGTCAAGTTGTTAAGTGGAGGAAGCCTGGTGAGAAAATGTGCATGTTGAGGAATGCTGGTATTATGAAGCTGCTCTAATAGATGTTGAGGCAAGCAAAAGGAAGTCACTGGGGTCTGTAGAACAGGGAACATCCTGAGGAACTGGTATGTTGTAATGTTCTAGCCTATGCCAAACTGTACTGGAGCCTGAGGCAAAAGGAAAACTCAGTAATACCGATCCCATCGTCATTCCAAATTCAGATATTCTGTTCGTTGTAGATTTTTTTCAAAGTTAATTTTGATTTTTAAAAATATTGCATTAAAACATTATTTATCTTGGTTGCTGTGTTTTGGCGCAGCCCCTTAAATTTTGTGTTCAAAGTGAGTGCCTCACTTGCTTCACTCCTGTCCCAATCTTGTGTTCTATTCCTGAAGTTTGGTGGAGGGGACATGGGTGTTTGTTTTATTATTAATTATGGATTACTCATGTTATAAATATTTTTTGGTTAGTAGGCAGTATTTCATAAAAACAAGTAAGATACATTAGAATTTTAAGATTAATTTGGAGCTTTGGAGCCTGAAAACCATAAAGGTGAAAGAATTGTTTGTGCTCCTCAGTTGATCTCGAGGGGAGAATAACTCTCTCTTGCTGCAGTGTATGTAGTACATATAGCAAAGGATTGTTTTGTCCATGTCTAAGTGGGTGAAAGATAACTGGGAGATAGAGGTACTAGAGACTGTTGTCCACTTGGAGATAGGTCTCGAGCAACTCATCTGCTGCAGACAGAACAATTGCTGGAGGCAGGCTGCCACAAGGTGAACTTGGCCTACATCTCACATAAAACAAACCCATCTCAAGGAGGAGCTGCTCACTGCTTACCACAGGGCCATGGCTCAAGAAGCAGTGGAAGATTCATGAGCTCTATAAATATCTCAGAGCTACTTGTATCCAAGAAAAGAGGTAATGTTTGACACAAATATCACTAGTACATCTAAAAATGTAAAATCTAAAAAATGTGAACTCTATTGTTCATTAGTACATTAGTGACTAATAAAAGATTATTTTGAGCCAGAGAAGTCAGTTAGCATGCAGCACAAATCTCAAAAAAAGCCAGTGGAAAGGTTGAAAGGTACAGGCTCCTCCCTGAGCTTGTCACCAGGTACACTACTCCATCATTTGATGTGGACCTCCTCATCAGTGCTAACGTTCAGTGAGAGTTTCTCCAGGCTCAGGATGGATGTTTTGGCACAATATCTAAAAGCTACAGGCTGAATTTTACCCTCAGATGAGTGGGTGGTCACAAGATGGCTGCCTCCCGAGGCCTAGGACCAAGATCTGCTCCACCACATACTTGCTGGGATAATGACCCCTTTTTTTCAGTACAGCTGGCAAAGTTATTCTTCAGAATTGATGGAGAGATAAAGGGTTTTTCAGGCAAAACCTGAAGAAGTTCATCACCACTAGACTGACCGTGCAAGAAATGTTAAAGAGAATTCTTCAAGTTGTTATGCAAAACACTTGAACAGAACAAAAACATCCTGTGCAGGAATTGATTCTGGTGGAAGTATTAGAATCAGTGGCTATCATTGAGATAGAGCTCATCCACTGTAGAACTTACAGTGCTTAGAATTACCTGGAATCCATATGCAGAATGTTATGCAGCCTGTGGATTTTCTTATATGTAGTTGTTTTTATTGGTACTACATTTCCACCTCGTTTAAATACTGGTATAGTGTCCAGTGCTACTGGGATCTTCATAGTGCATGCCCCTTCCCAGTGAGCAAATGTCTTATTAGAGTCATACCATTCCTCATTTGATCCTGGCAGAAACACATCAACCATAGTAGCTTTTGGTTTGCGATTGGATGAACCAACTGGATGAACCAATAAAGCATTCCACTTTAGACAACTGTGTTGAGCCTGGCTTCTTGAGTTCTATTCCCAAAATGATAAACTTCCATGTTTCTTCAAGACCATGTTTAAACCTCCTGTGAAAACCTGGTCCTATGTATAGTTAATCACTCCCTGAACATTCACCATCATGTTTTTGCAGTTTTTTGTTTCTGTGTTTGCTTTCTTCACAAGGTTGTGAGCATTACGATGTTGGGGACTGCAACTTTTTATTCTTCCTCTTCTTACACAGGGCCTTCTTGTACTGTGATTGGCCCAGAGTAGATGCTCCATAAACGTTGTTGAATTAGTAATCGGGGATTCAGGAGTTTACTAAGATTTCTGTACTTCTTTCATCAATTTCTCTAGGCTGCAGGAATTAGTTGATCGAGTGCTGGAACGTTTTCAGGCATCTGGACTAATAGTGAAAGAATGGAATAGTGTGAAACTACATGCTACAGTCATGAATACTCTATTCAGGAAAGACCCCAATGGTAAGTCCTCCATAGAACTGTAGTACAGTTTTTTTAAAGAAATTAATTATTATTTTTTTAATGGTGATATTAGTTAATGATATCCAATAAGTTTCAGCTGTACACTTTAACAGTAAGGCATATACATATTTACATTGTGTGTTCACCTCCCATAGTTAGATTTTTTTTCTGTCACCATATATTTGACCCTCTTTACTCCGTCTACCTCTTTCCTTCCCCCTCCCCCCACCCCCTGGTAACCACTAGTCTATTGTCCATGTCCATGAGTCTCTGTTTGTTTGTCTTGTTCATTTGTTGCTTTTAGGTTTATATCCCACATATAAGTGATATCATGTGATTTTCAGTTTTTTCTGTCTGGTTTATTTTGCTTAGCATGATTGTCTCGAGGTCCATCCATATTGGCAGTATTTCATCTCTTCTTCTGGCTGAGTAATATTCCATTGTATATATGTACCACAGCTTCTTTATCAAATTATCGTAAGACACTTTGGTTGCTCCATGTCCAGATCACTGTGAATAATGCTGCTATGACATTGGTGTGCAAATATCTTTTCGGATGTTACAGCACCATTTGTGATCAGTAAGGGTGTGTGAAATCTCTGGGGTTTGAATAGAATGGGCTGTCAAACAATTTCTGATATATCTTCTTTTTTAGGTGTTAGCTTGTTTTGATGAGCACAGTGGAAGTGTGTAGGGACATATCTAGCATGGTACCATGGCATTCCAAATCTTTTATTTCTGTTACACATAGGGTTGCCATATTTAGCAAAAGACATCAAGGTAAAGTTTAGGTAATCGGTGAATAATTATTTTATTATAAGTATGCCCCATGCAGTACTTGGTGGCTTATTTTGAAAAGAAGAAAGGAAGATTAGCTAGTAAAAATAAACATTAGACCAGTGGTTTCTCAACAAGGAACAGTTTTTCCTCCCAGAGGACATTTGGGATTATTTGGAGACATTTTTTTGTTGGCACAGTAGGGGGCTGGGAGTGGATTTCTGCAGGCATCTAGTGGGTCAAAGTCCTCTATGTGACACACAGGACAGCCCGCATAACAAAGAATGTTCAGCCTGAAATGTTGATAGCACCAAGGTTGAGAGTAATATTTTTTTTCCCTCAAGGAATCTGAGATCAAAGATCCCAACTGGAAGTCATTTAGTATTAACCCCATTTGGTTGATCCACTGTAGGACTAAGAGATAGGTAGCTATCCAATTTTTAGTTCTAGTGTTAATGTTCTGTGGTGCTAGATTGTATTTTATTTAAGACTTTTCTGAATAAATCAGTATTTTACTTTAGAGAGCACTGAGATCAGAAAAGATTCAAATGGCTCAGTCAAAGCCTGTAGACTCTTAATTGGGTAGCTAATAGAATCCAAAGCTTTGTACTTGTTATTGTTTTGATGGAATACATTTCTTTCATTTGGACAGTAGTGTTACAGAAGCATGTTTGAAATTCCAGAAAAAACATTCTCTGGAATATTTAATATTTGTACTTTACATTGTAGCTTGTCCATTGGTAACATTTAAAGGGATTTATGGAATTTATCTTCTTCTGGACAGTCAGTTTTAATTTTGGAAAACACAGATCCCCTGAGGAGGTACATTTTAACATCGTTATATAAAGACAAAGTTTCAGAACTCTAGAGTATACTCTAAATTCATTGTTTCAAAAAATATATTGTATTCAGCACCGAATAGAACTTTCTCTGATAATAGAAAGATTCTATATCTGTGATGTCCAGTATGGTAGCCACTATCCACATGTGGTTATTGAGCACCTGAAGATAGCTAGTGAGACTGAGAAAGTGAACTTTTAATTTTAATTTAAATTAATTTAAATTTAAATAATCATGTATGGCTAGTGGCTACTGTTTTAGACAGTGTGGGTATAGACACTATTTTATTAGACATTTAATATTACCAGTAGTACATTCTGCATCTGTCCTGACCCTTAAATCTTAGTTCAGAGCCCTTAACTTACACCATGCCTATTATTAACTAACTTCTTGACATAAAAGAGTTGAATTTGTATGCATCAGTATCTTTTAAATTGTGTGCATCTAGATTTATATTAAGTTAGCACTAGAGCTTCGTATAAGAAAATGTTCTGTGTTCACAGTTATCCTTCCCTACTTACAGATATTTAAAATATAACAACATTGACATATAATTCACATACTACATAATTCGCCCACTTAAGATATATAATCCAGTGATTTTTAGTATATTCAGAGTTGTGCAACCATTACCACAGTCAATTTTAGAACATTTTCATCACCCCCAAAAGAAACTCTGTACCCATTCACAGTGACTCTGTTTTCCCCTAACCCTCTAGTCCTGAGCACCACCAATTTACTTTCTGGTCTATAATTTATTTTTTTCTGGATATATCACATAAATAAGATTATGTAATATGTGATCTTCTGTGACTAGCCTCTTAATATTTGCATGTGTCATACTTCATTGCTTTTTATTGCTTTTTATTGCCAAATAATATGGAGCTGGTGGATATTTATGGATATTTACCACATTTTATATATCCATTCATCAATTGATGAACATTTGTGTTGTTTCCACTTTTTGGCTGTTATAAATAATGCTGATGTGAACAATTATTATGTACAAGTTTTGGTGTGGGCATATGTTTTCATTTCTTTTGGGTATATAATTAGGAGTGAAATTGCTGGGTCATATGATAACTCTATGTTTAACTTTTTGAGGAACTGCCAGGCTGTTTTCCAAAGTAACCACCATTTTACATTTCCATCAACAGTTAATGAGGGTTTAAATTTCTCTACGTATTTGCCAACACTTATCTGTCTTTTTGATTATTGCCATCATGTGGGTGTGTAGTAGTATCTCTTTGTGGTTTTGATTTGCATTTCCCTAATGGCTAAAGCTACTTATAGTTCTTGAATCTGTCATTAATGTCACATAATGATTACTGCTTTTTTTTATTGATATTTATTTAGTATGATTTACTTTAAAATTTCGCATCTCTTCAAAACAGAAGACCTATTTTTAAGTTGTGAAATGTCATCAGAATTGGAATCTTTGATTAAGAGATTCCTTCTCATTAGAGAAATGGTTCCATAGTTACCCATGTATAATTCTAGTGGGCTAACTAAGGTATATTATGTCCGTGGAGTTAGCACTCTGAATATAGTAGGCCAGTTTTGACTTGGTATTCTCCATTACTATATACAGTAAAAGACCATACTCAAAAGTAGAAATAATATTTTTGAGAGTCTGTTGTGGGCAGGAAAAAGTTGATATTTCAGAAAATACTCTGAGTGTTAAATAATTATTGAAGATGCTTTAAATTTTCTCTGCCTTGGGTTCCCCTCTGTGCTGAATTTTTACTTGAAAGGGACATAGGATATGGTGTTCCACGTTTTCTTTCCTGTTATCCCTTTCCTTTGATATCCTTTTCTCTTTATACTTTAAGGACATTTTTTGAGATAAGCAAGCTAAATTAACTCAGGGATTTAGAGCACAGCTTTGATGAGGCTAAGGTCATAGATTTGCTGCATTTCTGTGTGTAGTGTCTGTAAAGATACCTCTGTGTGCAACTAAAGGGGTCTTTCTCAGTTGAGGGAGTCCTTAAATCAACCCAAAGCATAGTAGCCAGCATTTGTGACTAGTTAATGTGTGAACTTTCATTTTTTTTTACATATTTAAAAATATATGCAGCTTTTATAGAATCTTGTGTTTTTAACCTGCAAGGAACCTTTAGAGATCACCTAATCTTAACCTCTAACTTTGAGGGACTGAGGTCCATAGAGGAGATATAATTTGCCTTGTCATATAGTTAACGTACAGTGAGTACTTGGACAATGTTGAATGAATAAATGTATATTGAATGAGTTGATGACAGAGCTGAGAGTAGAAACTGGGTCTCTTGACTCATAGCCTGATGTGTTCTCCTCCATATTATGCCCCTTTGGGTAGTACATAGAAACGTACCTATAGAAATCTAAGAGAAAACAGAAATAATCCAAGCTTCTCTTTTAACATTACCTTTGCATATTTACAGCTGAAGGCAGGTACAATCTCTACACAGCGGATGGCAAATATATCTTCAAGGAAAGAGAATCATTTGATGGCAGAAACATTTTAAAGGTCAGTATGAAACAGTGAATTTGGAAATCCATTGGCATGTGTCCTAAATAAGCAAGGAAAATAAGTCGTTCTTTCAACAGTATATTTTTCTCATGCTTCCCGTGAGGCTCATTAACTAAAAGGACTGTTTAGAATTTTTTTTCTAATGTCCTAAAAGAAAAGACATCTTTTTGACTCTTATGGCTATGGTATTTCTAGAGTATTTGAAATTGATGATTTAAGAAACAAGTATCCAACTACTTGGGTCCATAGGAATAAGTTGATTTTAAACTGGTGAGTTTTATTCTGTATTTTACCTTTGGAGGTCTGAGTTTGCATTTTTTTAAGTAAAAAAAGAATTGTTTGTCTCGTTCTAGTAGTTTTTTTTTTCTCCCATAAAGTGACTCCCCAAAGTTGCTTTGTAATCTATTTTTACTCAGGAACAGTCCATGTCCTAAAAAGTAGGTAGTCCAGTTCTGACTGTTGAGGCTTTGCTTTCTCAGTGTTAAATTAATCTATGAAATTTAAGTAAAATCAGGATTGCATTTATCTTTCTCGTACAGACTACATTCTTTAACATCCACAGTGTATGCCCTCTCTATCAGGTTAACATGCCATCGTGTTTCTGGGCAAAGAGAAACATAAGTTGATACCAGTGGAGAGGTTTTTGAGTCTTCATTTCACTTATTATGTAATGGTTTAGGTCATACATTTGCACAGCCATGGGTGTTTTTTTTTGGAGCTGGATGAGAGAATATCCATATAATTTCAGAATAAGCTTTAGTTTTAGAAATGCTTTTCTTTTTCCTTCCCTACCACATCCTCCAGTTCCTTGTCACTTGACAGTTTTCTTGCCAAATGGGTGATGTGACCCTGTTGCCTCTACTTAATGAGATCACTCAGCAGCTGCAAGCTTCTTCCCGCAGAGCCCACAACATTCACACAGGGCAGTGACAGCGTTCACTTAGGCAGATGTTCCAGCTCTCACATTGAGAGTTATGTTGATTCCTTCTTTCCCTTATATCTTTCTTGTTTTTGAATAGTTTTCCTATTTTCTAAGTAGTTATAGTAGCTTTGGGTTTGAGTGACAGGCTGCTAATGAATTCAGTTGCAGTTAACTTTGCTGATTTTCCCAGGCCACAGCTTCAGTGTGATAGGAATCTTTCTCCTCTATCTCATTTCCTTGGGGCTTTTCCAACAGTATCATTAATTACTTTGCTTTTTTTGTTGTTGTTAATTTGATTAAGGAAGAAAATAGAATGGGGAAAGAAATCTGAAGGAATGACTCAAATCAATTTGGTTCTTTGGGAATTAGAATTAAAGCCCAGAAGATGGGTTGATGCAAGTCAAGTGTGAAGTGCTTTGATATCTGTAAGAGGGAGATGACAGCAGAGAGCCTGTGGGGTATCTGTATGAACAATATGGATCTCTCACTTGTTATTTAATTTCTCTTGTTCTGTAAAGTTAGTTTTCTATTTTAAGGTGCTTTGCCTTGAAATTTTCCTGACCACCCCAGCGATGACATGAATGTGGCTCCCTCTAGTGTTAACAAAGGCTTGCTATACCAACAGTACCCTTACTGGTTATGCCTAGAGTTTTAGAGCTGGGCTCAGCTGGGGTGCTTGGAGACCGTTTCTTTAATCCAGTTCTATACTTTGACCTCTAAGGACCCAAGATCCAATGTGTTTAAAGTGACTTGCCAAAGGTCACTGCTAGTAGAGACTGATCAGAACAGAAATTCAAAACTCACAAATTAAAATTATTTCTGCCTCCCATAATGATACTCAGTGTTTAGGTAGAGGTCATTAGATATTCGAAATCGGGCATATCTATTTGAACTGCAATAATGTTTTATTAAAACTTATTTACTGAATGTGGGGGCAGTGGATGTGCCAGTTAGTCTAAAACTGTGGCTAATTAAGTATTAGACTTTTGAGCTGATTTTAATACTAAAACCAACAGAAATACTTATTGTATACCATCTGCCAGACCATGTGCCTTGCAGATAAAACAATGATTATAATACATACCTACCTTCTAGGAGCTTCTTGTCTTTGAGGGGTGCAGATGGTTAATAGACACTTACAATACAAAATGATGGGGCAAGTTATGAGTATAGAGAAGTATCTTTGAATACAGATATTTATAACAAAGTACCTTTTAGTATAGTTTACAATATTTTACTTTATAATTATTAGCTCCAGAAAATATAATCTTTCATCTATTTCAGTCAAAGAAATTAACTTTTCTTTGAGAATAAAGGTGACGTATGACCCCCAAATTACCCCCCCAAACACATAAGAGGTAATAACTATTTTTGTGAAGTAGTTATACCAGCCTGCCTTTTGGAATTACCATAAATAGACATATCTTTCTTAAATAGAATATGAGAACCCATGGCTCCTCAAACTCTTGGAGAAAAAAAAGATTCAGAAAACCAATGGATTATATATAGTTGTTGTTCTAGATAAAATTTTTATGTTTAGAAAGTGAAAAAATTCAGTTTCACTAACAAGATAGGAACTGACTTGGAGTAAACACAAAGGTTAACTGCATTGGTTGTTAAGGTTGTTAAGGATATGTGTGCAGCATATTAACAGCTACATAGGTCACAGGTCAAGAATGCTGGTGATGGGAAGCAGCCTTGGAAAAGAATCTACTTCATCTCCTATTCAAAGAGAAACAAAATGAGAAGCAAGTCATTGCTCATTGTTGTAAGAATTTAATGAGTAACGGCCAATTGCTTTTCTCCTCCATGAAGAGAATTAGTCCTTTTGGCTTGGTGTAAAATTATGTGTTCTGGGTGCCTTAATAAGAAAAAGCTCTAATGACTTTTGGAGGTGGAAGCCACATTTAAAAAAAAAAAATTATTTTTGTACAGCTGTTTTGAGAGTTGTTACAGTTGTAATAGACCATTATCTGGTTATTCCTAGTTAAAATAAGACTTCTCTTAACCTAAGAAGGACTTTGATAGAAGAACTGAAAACTAAAGAATCATTTTCTTGTGTTCAGGCCAGAAAAGGAACGAACATATTTAGTTATAGTGGTTTTTTTATAGAAGACTGACAGATAACTCTGAAAAAGGACATATGAGTGAAAAAGACCTAGGCCAAATTAATAAGATAGTGTCCCCTCAGAGTGTTTCCATTTCTAATCTAAGATATGAACCAAGATGCTATTTATTTATCCATAAGCAGTGTTATACTTGTAGTTGCAGAAATTATGCTGACCTAAAGGCATACTGCCAGGAAATAACTACTCCCTTGTGAGCTAGAAGTAGAATGGTCATTAACTGCCAGCTTCTGGAAAGAGAAGTAATCTTAATGGCACTCTTTGGGGGACTTATGAAATGGCCTTAAGCAATAGAGTCAGTATTCCAAGAGTGCGCTTTCAGCAGATTGAACAGGGGTACAGTACTAACTGTTCAAAAGCAAAGCTTCTAACTGCAGAGTGAAGAGGAGACAGTAGAGCTCTATGTTGTACCCACCAGAGGAGGTGATTTGGTACAAATAAAGGTACAGTAATATATTCGGGAAGGAATAGAAAGTACTATTTGTCCAAAATCAAAGGGAACTATGGAAGTGACATTTTTTTAGACACTTAAAAGTCCTGGGAAATATAAGCCAAGTAAAAAGGAGATGAATTGGTGCCTTTTCCATTTTATATATAAGAATCTTTAAATTTAGAAAAAGGAATTTGCAGTATTCAACTAACTATATTAATTTCATTGCTTTACCCGAAAATATGTTTTAAATCTGTCTAGCCACATTGAGACTTTTTTGAAAGATGTAAATGAGAGTAACACAAGTATTTCATTCATTTTTTCTTTTATTCTGTCTCTTCCCCTTAAAGTATTTAAAAGGACAGTTAGAATGAATAAATTTAAATTAGATCTTTATTTAGCTTGCTTTACTTAGAGAAGTTTCTATAAAGGAAGCTATTTAAAAATACATACTATTTATTCTTTTTTGGTGAAACGTATATGTAGAAGAGTGGATTGTTTAACAAGTAATCACACAGTGAACAATGTAACTACTACGAAGGTCAAAAAGTGTTACATGCCTCCCATTTCTCTCCCTAGCCAACTCTTTGTTTGTCCTAAGGTAACAAAGGCACAATTAAGTTCTTAAACAGTCTTAGCGAAGAGGCTTGATTTGAATGATTGCTTTGTTTCAAAATATTGGAAGACTATTGAAAAGATAGATTTCATTTTAATTTTTTTCTAAGGGAACAGAGATGAGATTGAGAACTATATAGTAATTTTTAAGCAAAGATTAATGACTTCAAAGGAAGTATCTTATTTCTAATGAAGAAAAATTATGTTTTTTACTATCCAATTCAATATTCAGCCATAGTATATACTGTTCCTGAAAATAACTTCTTAGTCACATGGTTCTTCTTTAGACTTTTTTTTCAAAACCTGACTTTTTCAAACAGTCTTTCCTTGAGAGTCTTATTAAATATTTTACTACACTATTATATCAGGATAAATAACAGCAAATGGAATGTAAAATAAGTTACTATCTCTTATTACCATTATAGCTATGGTGTCATTTTTACTACCTGATATTTCTATAACTTGAAATTGTAATCTTATTTAAGTAAAATCACTAAGCAAATATCACTTCCTCTCTAAGCTATTTATGTTTATATACGGTTGATACTTATTAAATTCAGTTCCCTTGGACATAATAATACTTTGTAATAGCTTTTATCTATAGCATGAAAGCAGTCATACTGTTCTTGACAACCATGTGAAGTATGCATCTTGTTGGAAGAGCAGAAGTACAACTTTTAGAAGAATTTCACTTGGAAAATAAAAATAAGATGTTGAAAAGGTAAAATAGAGAATGGGAGAGCCCATGGAAATTACATATAGACATTAACACATATATTCAATTAGGAAGATAAAGTTAAGGAAATCTCTGGCAAAGGCGAAGAGATAGGAAATATGAGGGGAAAATGTGACAAAGAGGATCCTTATGCATTGCAAAAATTAACTATTAGGGATCTAAAAGTAG